CAGCTGGACGCTTCACTCTCCACTCTAGACCTCTGTGGCTATGTCATACTTTATTTTTTTAAGCTGTGCCATTAATTGTGGTCTGAAGAGCTTTGTCCTGGCTTTGGGGAATTTGCATCAGCACAGATAAACAGGTTCAGGGAAGGTAGGAAAAGATCCCAGCCTCTGTACACTCAGGAGACACACTGTTCTGCAACACAGCCTCCAGATCCCTCTGGACAAGCTCCGAACTCCATTTTCCAGATTTTAAAAGTTGAACACCCTTCTCTTGACAGTTTCCATTTCTTCCTATATTGCATTCCTCCTGAGTGTTCCTCTTTATCACGACCTAGTTCCTGGGTCCCTGGGTCTATCCTAGCAGCCCATTAACTTGTCCTGGCTTTGCCAGGTTTCTTACATAGCCTGGGTTTCCTTGCTCAGCCACTTCAAATGGGTCTTCACTTCATTGCTTTCTTGACCTCTCCATCCTATCTACCTTACCAATCCATACACTTGTCCTCACTGGGCTGTAAGTTCCTTTACTGCTGACCAATTAATGGAGTCCATTGCAAAGCATCGGGAGTCCTGTTATGGGGCTGTAGGATAAGCGCTGGACCACAGGGTGAGTTTGAATTGGTTCAAACTCATCAACCACTCTTTGGAACCCTTTTCCGGGTTTGTTGTGGTTTGGAACCGACTTGATGGCACTTAACAACAACATTACAAATCATCAGGACCTTTAGTCCTGTTCTTTTTATTCCCAAATAGACCGTCTACCATACCATTAAAGGATCTCTGGTAGCATACTGGTTACGAATTGAGCTGATGAAGATTAAAGAGCACAGCCTTCGGTATGGATTACATCTCAAAGTAAAGAAAACAAAAGTCCTTACCAGTGGACTAAAAAAAAAACATTCTTATCAATGGAGAAAAGATTTAAGTTGTCAAGGGCTTCATTCTTCTTGGATCAACTATCAACACTCATGGAAGCAACATTCAAGAAACCAAATGACGTATTGCATTAGACAAATCTGCACAAGACCTTTCGAAATTGTTGAAGAGCAAAGATGTCAGCTTGAGGACTAAGGTGCACCT